TGTGTGTGTGTTTGTGTGTGTGTTTGTGTGTGTTTCTGTGTGTGTTTCTGTGTGTGTGTGTTTGTGTGTGTTTGTGTGTGTGTGTTTGTGTGTGTGTCTGTGTTTGTGTGTGTGTTTGTGTGTGTGTTTGTGTGTGTGTGTGTGTGTGTCTGTGTGTGTGTCTCTGTGTGTGTGTGTGTGTGTGTGTGTGTGTGTGTGTGTGTGTATAATTCAGAAAAAACAGGACAGACCTAGTCATTCACCCTGGGCTGGCTTAGAGCTCTGCCTCTTCAGTACTAAAATGGAAGGGCAGGCATTCAAAAGAGACTTTCTCTTCTTCCTTTCCCTCTTGCATCCTAATTTTATTTCTTGCAAGTGTAACATGGCTGCCTGTCCAGAACCCTCTGGTTCCTCTTGTCAGCCCCCCCCCCCCCACCTCTCAGCCTAGGTCCCTGGACCCACAGAGATGACAGAGGACTAAGACGTGACTCCTGACCTCTTGGAGTCCACAGCATCCATGGGAAGACACTCATTCAAGAGATCATTACAACACAATTTAGAAAAGCAGAGGAAGGAAGCTGAACTTGGCAGGTGGAGCCAAATAGATCTGGTTTCTAGGAGGAGAAGCTGCTGCTGAGTCCAGAAGGGAATCATCTAGGGGAAGGGGCAGGGCTTCCAGGGAGAAGAATTATCCTCCATAAAGGCAGAGGTGTGAAAAGGCACCGTTGTCCCAGTTGGTTTGAGTCCAATTTCCTCACCTAGGAGTTGGCAGCAGAGTACAAAGTTGAGAGGCCTCCTCTTCCTTATCTGTGACGGGAATCACCCCTTTGAGGTTTCTCCCTGCCCCTCGAGGGGCCAGGAACGACCCCCAGAGCTGTGGGGAGTCTCCAGTGAAGAAAAAAGGGTTGGGTTGCCCCATCTGTACATGGACCTTGGCTCACCCTCTCGAAGCTGGAGGATTCCCGATCCTGCTCGCAAGGGGCCCTGTGCATATTGTGCCGGAGTTTGGGATGCTGATGAGTGTGACAGACTTTGCAAAGGCTCTGATGATTCCAAAGTTTCAATCTGCCACATGGAGCCAGTTCCTGCCAGGCACAGACATGGGCTGCTCAGATTTCATGTGAAGCTGCATGAGTCAACCTTAAAGGAATCAGAGAAGAGGAGGAAGCAAGTGAATCCCATAGAGAGGGCCCGTAACTGCACCTGGACTTTAGGCATGCGCATCTCCAGCAATAAACAAGGGGCGGGAAGAAGGAACCCTCAAGAACGATTGTTTGGACAGAGCACTATTTTTAGCCAGGAAAACAGAAATGAGGAGGTCTTTAAAAACATAATAGTTTAATCAAATTCATTAATTCTTCTGAGAGTCAGGTATTTTGCTAGGGGCTGGGAATAGATGAGTATGGTTTGGCTCTGACATAAGGGGGCTCATTGTGGCTGAGACCGATATGTAAATGAAAAGTTGCAGTACATTGTGACAAAGGATCTACTAGGGAGACTTTTTTTTTTTTTTTAAGTAGGCTCCACGCCCAGCATGGCACTCAGCGCGGCGCTTGAACTCATGACTGTGAGATCAAGACCTGAGCCAGGATCAAGAGTTAGAGGCTTAACTGACTAAGCCACCCAGGCGACCTAGGGAGATTTTCTTTTTTTTTTTTTCTTTCAAGTGTGATGGGAGCATAGAAGGGGGAGTAATCCATTAGCTCCTGGGGACTGGGAAAAGAGGCAGCTTCTAAATGACACAGTAGGAAATGCGGTGGGGTCTTTCTTTAAAATTAAACCCCATGAAATTCCCAGCGTTCAATCCTATTTGACATAAAGAGGTCAATTTCCTATGGTTTAACCTAACAGTAAGATCAGGAATGGCATGGAGGTTTCATGCCATCCACCAACTCTAATCAAATGGTAGCAACTGCCTAGAAGCTGTGTTAAGGATGATTCTGAGGATCCCAGGATAATAGGAAAGGACACTTGGAAATTGATGAATGGTCTGTCCTGGCTAGGGAATGGTGGCTAGTGGTATAAATTGAACACAGTTGCCATCTTTAAATTATAAGCAGGAAAGCCCCTTTCCCCACCTCCCTCAAATCTTTGTTTTTTATTTTTTATTTTTTTAAATGTTTTATTTACTTATGTATTCATGAGAGTCAGAGAGAGAGAGAGAGAGAGAGAGAGAGAGAGACAGGCAGAGGCAGAGGGAGAAGCAGGCTCCCCGCGGAGCAGGGAGCCCGATGCGGGACTCGATCCCAGGACCCCAGGATCGTGACGCCCAACCACCTGAGCCACCCAGGTGCCCTTTGTTTGTTTTTTAAACAAACACACATGACTGGCCCCTGCCCCCAAAATGCATGGAGGTTCCAGTGTTCCTTGCCTCTTGGTTTCTGTTTAATTCAAAGCCTTCTCTTAAGAAAAGGTCACAAAGGCCTAAGAGAACATACAATAAGTACTTTGCAAATTAAACTAGAGGATGTTTTTTAGGTAAAATAAAGAGCAAGTCCTGTGACAGTATAGATTTTGTTTAACAAAGGTCAAAATTATCGCATAAAGAATTTTTTTTTCACTACCAAGAGGACATCCAAAGAAGTTATTTCAATACAGTTTCTCGGTATCTGTAGCATAAGAGCATTAGGAAAGCCTCATTATGCCCTGCCAGGATTTAGCTTCCTAGAGGGAATCTGTGTTGTGTCCCAATGGGATTCTCTAAATTGCTTTGAGAGTGTTGAAAACTGACCCTACGGTTTTAACCGTACACTACTGAAATGTCCTCTGGATATGTTTTTGCTACAACCATGCTATTTTTCTTTCAATACCAAGCCACCCCCCCCAAGAAATTTTAGGTTTCATTTTAAAAGTGGTTTTTAACCAGGGGTGGACACGAGAGACCCATGGAGTTTTCTCACATGCTGATTTGGCAGAAACATCCTATAGAAACATTCGTTTCTCTCTAAGGTTTTAGCAGTGAGCAAGAACATACGGATGAATGGCCTCTGCAAAGTCAGACGAAGTACTCATTGATAAAGCAGGGTGGGGGTCAGGGCTTGGGGTGGGTATGCCACTCCTGTTGGTTGATTTTAGACCCCACACCCCCACGATCTGGAGTTCAGTCTGTTTGCTGTTAATTACCATCCTGTGCCAGCTTCTTGCCAAAACTGGAAATACTTACCAGAAAGAAATTAGGCCATGCAAAGCCCCATCTTATATGTTGGGTTAAACTTTTTAAATAAAATAGAGAGAAGAAAGAACCATCAGTTTAGCAAAGGCTGATCATGACTCGGGCCCAACCAGACTCTGAATACATTTACCGCCAAGAGAAGGTCAGTCAATTTCGCTCTTGCATCCAGGCTCTGGTGGGGGCTGTCCTCCAGCTATAAGCGTAGGGTACCAGGGTAAACGCCAGAAGGACAAGGAGACACTCCTTCAGATAGAACTTCTGTCCATGGGCTGCTGCTCCTTGTCACAGAATGGATGGAGGTGGCTGAGTTGGTGACGGAGGGCCCACTTAGGGATTTTAATCCATCTTTGCTTTATCTGGAAATAATGGACAAAATCTAGGGAAACACGGGGAACAGAGGGTAGAAGTGGAATTTGCAGAAGCCTCCTCAGCCCTCCTCAGAGGATCCATCTATTCTGGCTCCGTGCCTGAAGGAGGGGGAGCAGTGGTCCTGGAGACCACCTCTGGAACTGTTTGGTTTTTTTAGTTCAGGAAAGATGGCTAGCCTTTAAGGGTTCACATGGCAGTCCCTCTCCGTTTGGCAGACCCCCCACTCACTCTTCAAGTTTTAACTACACTTCTGTTGACCTTGGGAAAGATACTAAAGGATTATAGAACCCCTTAGCTAGCACTAGGGCAGGTCTTCAAAGATGTGGATGAGCCCACGTCAAGGCAGGCTTCTTCTCATGGGGAAAGCTTTCCGTTGTGGTGATGGCAGGAGAATCCAAAACTCAAAACCGAATGGAGGCAAGTGAACAGAAACCACAGGAATGCATTTCCATCATCAGTAATGGGCTGACAACTCCTTAAAAGTCTCTCTCGTTCTTTTCAAAGTCTGAGTGTGAGCTTTGTAAGCAGCAGGAGAGAGAATTGATACCCTGAGGATCCCTGACCCTGCTCATCCTTGGAGTGGGCGGTGGTTCAAAACACATCACAGATTGAGGAGATAGCTCAGGATTCCACCGTTCCTCTTTGCTGTAAAATTCCATTGTGCCAGGATAAGCCCGGTGCCCTTTGATTTAAATCAGGCAGAGGACAGTGAGCTCTGCAGTGCAGGCTTGGTGAGGCCGCCTCTCCTGCTGGAAGGCTGAGAGCTTTCGGGAAGAAATGAGATACGCAGAAGCCAAAGATGGTCTCAGCCCAAGCCCAGCGTGGGTCCGGAGTGGGCCACGTGGAAGGTGAAAGTTGCATTCATTTCTTCCCTGCCATACCTCTGTTCTGCCCCTGAAGAATTGATTCAGACGCGGGCGGGGGTTGGGGATGAAAAGTTTTCTCAAACATAGCGGTTCACATGCTTCTCCTTTACTAAGTGATGATTACATACCAGCCCCTGCCCCGGGCACATCTCTAGCCATACGATTCACAACCCTTCCTGGAGGTAGGTATATTCACCCCATTTTCCAGATGGGAATCCCAAGGCACAGAGAGGTATAGTGACTTACCAAGATCACACAGCTAAGTGGCCTCTGAGCCAGGCTTGTCATCTAGTTCTCTCTGATATTTCTCAAGCCCCCTTTGCCGTATGCCATGCTGCCACCATCACTGATCTGAAACTGGGTCCTGGGGCAGCCAGACCCCCCACTGCGGGAACCCCAGGTGACAAGGAGTGGCCCATGCTTGGAGGGCTGGAGGGTGGGCTCCTGACTCCCTTTGGCTAAGCCAGGGGGCTGCCACATGTGTCCCTGTCACATGCACGGGGATGTGGCTATGTTTTCATTTCTTTGCCTTTCTTGTTTGCGTTGCCGTGATCTCTCAGGTGTAGTGTGCCTGTTCCCAAACCAGATACCATCTATCTCTCTCTCTTTCGTAGGCACGGTGCTGTTGTGCCAGGCAAACCAGGAGGGATCTTCCATGTACAGTGCCCCCAGTTCACTTGTATATACTTCCGCAAGTAAGCCCGCTGTTGTGGCTCTCTCTTTGTTTTGTGACATAAATCTGAGTCCAGTCACCTTCCCTGCCATGTAAGTTCTCCTCCTACCCTCCCTCTCGGCTCCACCCTCCCTGTGGCTCTCCACAAGATGAGGTTGGTTCTCATAAGCATGTTTCTGTGTTCCCTGTCACCTTGGCATCGAACCCCTTTGCTCATTATGTCTGAACGCTCACTTCCCAGATACCCCAGTCATCCTTTGTTAAGACCTGGAAGGACCGAGTCCAATGGATGGGACATGGGGCATTGGTCGGGGGGTGGGGGAGACGCATGGGGGGGTTGGAGCTAAAGCTCACTGCCTGCCTTCCATCACAGCTTTGCAAATTAATGTGAAAATAATCGATGTAACATACACAGGCCATCCAAGTGGCCCCCTTGCCTAGCAAAAGATGTTTGATTGTTACTCTTCGAGCACCATTTTCTCAGTGGAAAATCATGACTTGTTTACAAGGCTCTTCTGCCCTTTACTGTGTGATTCCATTGAGTATGAGGAGGAGAGAGAAGAATGTGGTTCTCCTCCATTTAACTGGGTGGGGGGAACAACAAGAAAAGGCACTTTGATAGATAGGAATACAGCCATCAAGTGCAAGGGGGAGAAGACCAAAAATAAATATGGAAGATAGATCAGAATGTTGACACGGAAAAACCAAGGATGTCTCTGCCTGGGATGGCTGCTCCAGGGTGGAAAATACCCGACCCTGACCCCAGTTCCCAGAACAGGTTGAACAATTACAGTCCTCATGGATTCCATCATGGTGCCCCCACCTGGTTTGCCCCTCCTCAGAAAGACCCCCAGCCACAGCTCAGACCTTCTCCTCTATTTCATAGGCTGTAAGACACCACCCTATGAAATCCCCATAACTACAAAATTGGTCCTCATTGGGATCAGTGCTCAAGAGTGAGTGTGGGGATGGGAGAAGATGGGCTGCTGGAGACCAGCTAGAGAAGCGGGGGGTGGGGCGGGGTGATGGAGAGCAGCAATAATGGGCACGTGATGATTAGAAGGATGAGAGACAGAGGGGAATCCTCCCCGAGTGCCAAGATCAAGCATCTCAATTCCCAAAGGCTCAGAAAAACCAAACTCTTTGCTGGGGGGCAGAGGCTAGAAGCAGTCATCAGAAACCAAAAACATGACTGTGAGAATCCCAACGGTTTCTGAAGGTGCCAGGTTATGGGGGCAGCCAGGTGTTCTTCCCAACTAGCGTAGCACCATCAACAGCAGGTTGGGCATGCATTAAATGCAAAGTATCTTCCTGTGTCCCCGAGAAGACAGAATCTAAGCATACCGGCAAGAAGTGGTTCTTTCTAAATGTAGAGACATTGCCCACTTCGGGTGGTGTAAATGTGTGTGCATGTATCTTGTAGAATTAGGATGCTAGTACACATTTTCACGTGTTCAACCTTGTGTCATCCTCAAAATCTGCACCAGGTAGGTATTATAATGTTTGCTTTACAGCAGAGGAATGGAGGGGTACTGAGACGGAGTGATAACCCAGGATCACGCAGCCACAATATGGTGGATTTGGTTTTTAAACCTGGGAAATTATTCAACTTTTGACTGCTTTTCTGGCTCCATTTGATTCTAAATATCATCATCATTCCCTTGTCTCTCTCCCCTACCTTCTCTATAAACATTATTTTCTGAAGAAATGTTGGCGACCCAAAACTTAACCACAGTTGAGTCCAGAGAGTTATTTTGTTTTATTCTGTAACACCGTTGTCCTATAGAACTGTCTAAGATGAAATGTTCCGTATCTGCGCTGTCCAGTATGTGGGCTCGCGGGACAGAGGCACTGACTTTTTTATTTAATTTAATGTTAATTAATGTTACTCTAATTAACCACATGGGGCTAATGGCTACCATAATGGAAAGCATGGCTCTCAATGATCATATGAAATATGCATTTCTACTTCAGTTCTCTGTTCAAATTAATTCCAGATAAGGGCTGGTTTGAATCAGTATAGCCATTCTAAGGCAGCTTTGGGGGAAATGTGTATCGTCAATATCAAATGTGGAAATCTATCACAAATTTTTCATATTAAAATAGGGGAAACATCCAGAGGAGACGGTGTCATCTGAAGCAGGGGTCAGCAAACTACAGCCCAGGGGCCAAATCCAGCCCACAGCCTGTTTTTGTAAAGCTTGTGAGCTAAGAATGGGTCTTAGAATTTTTGAAGGATTGTAGAAACGGAACAAAAACAAAACACAACATGTGACAGAGACAAAGGTGGCCCACGAAGCCTAAAATATTGTCATTCCAGCTCTTTACAGAAAAAGTGTGTTGATCTCAGATATAAAGGGTCTGTTCTTTATTGAAAATCCAAAATGACAATATCACTTCACTGTTTATACATTTTTTTCCTGAGTTTAAAAGTAAAAATATATAATAATTATAGAAATTGTATAATGTGTGTCCAACACCCTTCATTTTTAAATTGCATAATCAATCATAGTACCTACACATTTTTCATCCTATTATTTTCACTGATTATCATGTCATGTGCACTTTATGAAAATACATTAAGGGCCTCATAATATTCTATCATTTCACAATATTACATTTTAATCAACCCCTCCATTGTTGGTAGGAATTTTTCAGAAATATTAAAGAAATGTCCTTGTATATAGTAGTGTTAAAGAAAACAATAATTAATAAATAGTTGATTGTCCTACCCCATAACAAAGCAAAATGAAACAAAAACCTAGTTTCTTCCAATAAGAATCTTCATGTGTCGATCCCTTAAGCAATGGTATCCAGACTGACAGGCTCAGTGAGTGTTTTTCGTATGGACAGCCAACTCTGAGCCTTCTCCTTCCCCACCTGTGTCACCAAAAGGACTATAGATCACTTCCATCTCGAGGCAACAATGCTGCGTGTAAAGATGATCCATTCCTCCCTAAGACACATTGCTGAGGCTTTCTGCTTTAGTTCTTCAAGTGAGCAATCCTTTTGAGGCTGGACTGTTTGACATTAGCTGGCTTCTTTGTTTTTTGTTGTTGTTTTATTTTTATTTTATTTTTATTTCTTTTTAATTTTTTATTGTTATGTTAATCACCATATATTACATCATTAGTTTTTGATGTAGGGTTCAGCCATTCATTGGTTGCATGTAACACCCAGTGCTCTTCACCAGTCGTACCCTCCTTAATACCCATCACCTGGTTACCCCATCCCCCCACCCCCCCCTCACTTCTGTAACCCTGTTTGTTTCCCAGGGTCCAGAGTCTCTCATGGTTTGTCTCCCTCTCTGATTTCTTCCCCTTCAGTTTTCCCTTCCTTCCTCTATGGTCCTCTGCACTATTCCTTCTGTTCCACACATGAGTGAAACCATGTGATAATTGTCTTTCTCAGCTTGACTTATTTCACTTAGCATAATCTCCTCCAGTTCCATCCATGTTGAAGTAAATGGTGGGTATTCATTCTTTCTTATGGCTGAGTAATATTCCATTGTATATATGGACCACATCTTCTTTATCCATTCATCTGTTGAAGGGCATCTCGGCTCCTTCCACAGTTTGGCTGTTGTGGACATTGCTGATATGAACATTGGGGTGCATGTGCCCTTCTTTTCACTACATCTGTATCTTTGGGATAAATACCTAGTAGTGCAATTGCTGGATCGTAGGGTTGGCTGGCTTTGAAACATCACATAGGTTTTCTCTTCTAGATTAAGGTATATGTTCCAGTGCAAAATCATATGTTCTAGAAACAATCCCTCCAGCATATAGAGGGTCATTTTTGCTCTCTGTCTCTCTCTCTCTCTCTCTCTGTCACATACATGCACACACACACACACACACACACACACACACTGGGGGCACGCACAGGGCCATCGAGGTTCATCTCCTCTCTGAGTGTGACATACACATGGCTGAGAGCCACCTCTCTTGTCTCTGAGGTCCGAATGGTGTGGCCTCTTTTTGCTAAGAATCCAGCCTTCTACCCAAAAGCTGAGGATCCCTTACTTCTCAGCAATCTTGTAGGATGTACCTGCTTTTTAACTTGAAAATATATATATTTCTCATGGTTATCTAATAGTTGTACTCCTGAAGAAAGGTGTGTATAAATTACACTTTTGTAAATTGGATCTTATGTGTTTACTGACTTCCAGGATTACTCCTGAGTTTGTGTTGGCTTTTTTTCCCCCCACGGATCTTTAACTGGCCTTGGATGTTTTGGACTTAAATTGCCCCACTGCCTAGCCAAATAGCTAATCATCTGTAAATAACACCCTTAAGTGCAGTAGGGGAGATGGGTTTTAAAGGAACCCTGCTGAATTCCTCTGTAATGAAAATAATTTCTACTTGAGGTTATCTGTTTTTTAAGATGCATTTTTACATAATGGGTTTTCCTCCACTTAAGTGAATCATCCTAATAATATGACCCAGGACATGAAAGCATTAAGGGAAAGATTTCCACTCAGAGCGCTGTGTCAGTACAACCTAATCCTACAGATTCTCCTGTCTCTCCCCAACTGACCCCAGTTTTTCCCCCTCATCCTGACCTTTATCCTGGTGTGAAACCCCTATTCAGCTTGTGTCATGGGACATCACACATGCTCCCATGTGTCCCAGTGAACCACTAGCATCCAGAGTGTAAAGTGGGCCTACTTTTTAGCAGACAAATGAAGTCGAAGCAAAACTCCAGAGAATTAGGCAAGATCACCTTGTGCCAAATGGAAAGCATTTAATATTAATGTCTTTGTCTTAAGAATATTAACTTTTCATCAACTAAACTAATTAATTACATGAACTACTTTGTTAGTTTTGAAATAATTTTAATTAATTTAATAGTGTTGTGTTTGCTTTGAAGAGCCCACATCTGACCCCTTGACAGAGGGGTTTGGTAAAAGCTGGGGCAGGTCTGGTGGGCTAGCTCACTGACTTCCCCCTCCTGGGCCCAGTGATCTGTAGGCTCCTCCTGTGTGGGGGGAAAGGCACCTGCTTTACTCTCAGTGCTGTT